CTCAAGAACCGAACCCCATGTGAGGCTATCTTCTGACATATGTTTTTTGATAGGTTGTTAGATATCCATTCCTGAGTAGAAGGGGATCATTTTCTTTTACATTACATACTCTACAAAGAAGTTGTCGTAGATCGTGGAAGAGATGTACATGAAATGGTTTTTAATATTAGGGGTTTTGAGTTGGCCTTTGGGAGGAAGGAACTCTTTCAACGTCTTCCAGATTGGTGATTTTTTTATAGCCTCGAATTACTATTTTCCCTTCCGATTATGTATGTGTTTGCTACAATAAAGACAAGTGAGTGGGTAAAACTAGAACATGTAAAAATATATATTTGAAACATCTTTTAATGACTTATCGGGCGAGGATATGGTCTATGTGTGTCTACTATATCTATTGGAGAGGGGTCCAACGACCGCTTGCTACGTCAGCCTATGATTAGGACTGATATCTAACTTTGATGAATTCAACATGTATCATGTCGTTAATTTATAAATATCATTACTAACTTTTTATGTATGTAATTGTGTATTTTTTGTCGTAGACATCGTAGAGGGAGGATAATTTGGGAACAATTTTACAATCAGCTAGAGACGGTATTTGGAAAGCTCCATCAACTTCTTCATTATATCAAAGTTAAAAAACCAAAACCTTAAAATTTTATATGAAACTTAAGTGGTTTTTTATTTGATTTTAAGGTAAAATACATTTTATCAGCCTATAGAGAAGTTAGGTCCCGTTTGATAGTTTCTGTATGGGAAAGTGCTGTCTGGTAAAGTGCTGTCTGGGAAAGTTTTCTGACTGGGAAAGAAACCATGATGTTTGATTGTACATCTAATTGACTGTGCTGAATGATAAAAAAAGTAATAATTCAATAAAAAAAAATAAATTTAAAAAAAGTTATTTAAAAAAAAAATAATAATCCAAGAAAGAAAGAAAGAGGCGGAGTTTGGTGCATAATTGTCTTTCCAGCCCATTCAGCCAGAAAGATATGATTTTGAGGCTTTCTGGGAAAGACATATCTTACCGGGAAAGACCTTTTTTTTGTGCAAATCAAACAGTCTTTCCGGTCCATTCAGCCAGAAAGATCTGTTTGGACCTGGAAAGATGCGTATCAAACGGGGCCTTAGAGTCGACTTGATGAGACATGTGATGCCTAGTGTATCTTATAGCTTCATATGGATTGAATGTGATGCTTTATGTCAGGCACACTATCCCTGGGAACCATCACTTGGTAGGTTGCCTAATTATGAGCCTCCACAAATGTAGACATGACGAGATGTTGGTAAAGGTTCATATCCATTAGACCCATGATGACCATTAGAAACTAGGCTCACAATAGATAAGGAAAAAATCATAACGGAGTTGAAAAAGTTGTTTCAGGAATGTCAAAGGCAGCTAATGACACATGATATACGCATTTCTCGTATCGAGGTTGCGTTAGGGCTATATGTAGATCCTTTGTAGAGGATAATGGTACACCCAATGATAAGGATACCGGATAGGATTATGGTACCTCACTGGGGATAGAGGTGCATTTTTTTATACTTTATGGTATACCCATTATTGCATCGTTGATTATTTAATAGTATGGAATTGTTACATTATTGTAGGGTAACATGTTTACCATGTATACCAGATTATCATAGAGGGTCATGGTACATCACAAGGTGACTTTTGGTCATATGGGTTTGAGGTACATATTTAAATAGGTATGTGTTATTACCCTTGTTGTATTTTTGAATACTTAATTGTATTTAATCTTATCTTTATGTAGAGTGTCACTGCTAATCCCATAAAACAGCTTACCCTACACAATGATAACCCATTACATGATAGTAGACCTGCTGAGATGTCTACCATACACATAGATAGTGTACCTACACATACGTTCGCTGAGCCGCCAAAGATCGTTGAGGTTCCCCGGTTAGATCACCAAACGTCACCATTGGCACTTAGACATACACAACAAGCAACACATTTTTCGATATGGTTGAATTCTCCATGGATACAGATAAAAACGAAAGACATCACACATGTACGCCCACCATTGTTAGATGGTTGTTTAGATGATAGCATTCACATTCTATATCTGAATCAAGATGATTCGCTATTTTTGTTCATCGGTTTCTCATCTATAAACCGGTGATGGAGTTTATGTTGCGTATGTATGGGATCTTTGACAATGGATGGTTGGAATGTGATGTAAGATATATATTTATGTTATCCTTACACAATAAACGTTTTGTTAACTTACTCTATTGTATACATGTGTTGATCAACATCGCATCATTCTCTGGATTTCCTTGCTTCTAGAGTGAAGGTTAAATGATGTTTGGTGTACATTTGTACCTATAACTTTTAAAACAGATGTAAAGTATTAGCGTAACATGAATGATGGATTCATTTGCCCATCTTATATTTAATGTAATACATTATACTTGTGTTTTAATTACGTTACCTAATAATAGTCACTTATAACAAAATGTTATATGCTTATTTGTTATTTTCGACCTCTAGTACAACATACATCCCCATTAATATACCGGATGCCCACTAGTTTTAGGTGTTTTGGATTTTCAGACATTAACACTCACTATATACGATAGTTATTGGTCTGGCAACAATTTTTCAGAATCTACATCTTGGTTTAGAGCTATGCGAGCCCATATCCAGAAACTTCTACTGGCTATTAATTAAGTATTGGGGTACCAACCCCACCGATGTAAGACCCCTAGAGTATTTCACACTAACCCTTGTGAAGGCCACAGACGTAACACAACAGTCTAATGATAAGGATTATAGTGTTTTCTTATGTTGGTTCCTAAAAAGGTTGACCAACGGTCAATCAGTGAGCATAGAAGGCTGCATCAAGATCCAGGCCAACTCATGTCGGAGGTGATTTGTAAAAATTGCATGGGGTACATGTAAAAATAAGGCTCCATTTGCACGTTTTATTATGATTTGAACATATGTGAATTTTTGTAATTATTAGTTATTGCAATAGAATTTTTATTTCGCAACATTCAAAAATTATTTATTTTTCGAATAGATATTTTGCTTTATGTGGAAAACATGAGTTTTCTTTTCACTTATAATCATATAAAATTGGAAATGACCATAAAACCATAATTAACATTTTAAATTTTAAACATATAATACATACAAAAATGATCATATAATAAAGTTGACCAAACATTAATTGAAATTAACATAAAAACATAAACATTAAATAAGCATTTCGGAATGATGTTCCGAAACGGCTACTCCGGATTCCTTAATCTACTCAGAAATGCTTTGTTTAAGACATATTAGTCATTTTACCAAAAACAATTATCTTTCAAAAAGACATTAATATTGGTTGGTTTATTCAATATCCTTTAATATCTCCTAAGAACGTCTCCAACTCACTCTCATTCTCTATTATTTCCCCCATTATTCTCCAACCCTACTCCATTTATTCCCCAATTTTAGGATAAATGAATAGTATAACACCAAATATGGTGTTATACTATTCATTTCCCCCAAAATGGGCATGAACTTTGAGTTGTCGATTTTAGTCTCTCTTTTTATATATGTATACATTTATAGTTTATTTTTATCTACTAATTATAATTTAAGTGTAATATTTAATACTTATAATATTGTGTTATATATTAAATTATATTAATTAATTATAAATATAATGTTTGTTTTTTGTTTATCAAATTCATATTAAAATTTAAATACATATTGAAATTTTAAAACACGATAACGTATTTTACAAAAGCTTGTAATTAAGTGTTATAGATATAATCTTATTTATTTAATATTATTTTAATGAAAAAAATATAGATTATATATTTGTTAAAAATCAAATTAATAGAAAGGGTGTGTTTGACAATTTATATAAGTTGGAATAATGAAATATACTTTTTGGAGGTAAAAATAGGGTAAAAAATAAAATAGGATCGGAGATGAAACACTATTTGCCCTATTTTTTACTCCATTTTTTTGAGAAAAATACGAAAAATGAAAGTAGGTTGGAGATGGTCTTATAGGTTTTTTTGCTTATTCTTCCATTGATTAAATTTTTTATTCATCAACATAATATGGTAGTTAATGGACGATTATACCCTTTATTAGAATATATAGTGTAGTTTAAATTTTAAGTATTAAACGTCTTTTTTAAGCGCTTTCAGCCCACTCCTTCCTCACAAAACTCCTTCCTCTTGCGGCGCTGCAATCTTCAGTTGGCTTTCAGACGACGCATACGTTTTGCAATCTTTGTCCATGTATATGTGTCTGAAGGAACGGAATGCAGTGATCGGAGAGTCCACATGTCTTAACTCGACTGGTTAGAAACACATTCCTGTCGCTCAACTTTAAGGTTTATATACATTCTCCGGGAAGAACTGCCCTCGAGAACCCGTTGAACTACACCCAAAATTATTTTCCGGGAAGACTCCGATCGAGAACACCGTCATCGGAGCTCTGTAATACTATCACAAAAACTTCATAAACTACTTCACAACTGGAAAATCAAAAACCGGATGGAAATCCAGTGGAAAAGGAGGATCTACGAACTGGGTTTGATAGACCGGAATATTGAACAGATTGATCATCGGTGGTACAACATGGATTCGGAGGGGAAAATGTGACTAGCAATTTCCGGTCATTACATTCTGTTGAGATGAGTTTATTACACTACAGCTTTGAAGGAGGAAGATTAAGCGTGTTGTGTTTATGTGTTGAAAGAGAATCAAATCAGCTCCCAAAAAGCATTGGAATAATTAAAGTACACGGGGCATAATAGTCAATTACTAACAAAAATATGTGGATCGATAAAAATAAGGAGTGGATTTATCAGCTCTCTTTCTTTAAATCTTCTTTCTAAAGATAGTGAAATCAATTCTATTGCATGAATTAAAACGTCTTTGCTCTCTTAGCTACTTCTTAAAAAAAATTCCACATCAAACTGTCAAACTTATTTCGTAAAAGTAAATTCATCCAGTTGACTTACCTGTGTCTGTAGAGAAGTATTCAACTCGATTTCCATCGAACAGCTTAAGGCTACCTTCTTCTGAAACAGCAAGAACTCCAGTGGAATCCAGCACTGGTTTATCACGATTAGCCACCCACACTACGGTCTTTGGATCCATGGTATACCATACCCCCACATATCGTCTTACTTCTGATGATTCCTCACGTGAAAAGAAGCCCATTTGAAACTTCTTCTCCGGAGATTCTAAATAATCTGAACCATCACTGATGTTTTGCCCCGTTGTTATAATGTCTCTTGCTGCATAGCAGGAGAAACAACCCACCATAAATGTACAGAAGGAGATGATTTGCCCTATTAGTGTCTGAAGATATCATGATGGGTTTCTGAACGTAACTTCGAACTGTTTGATGAAGATGGAATAGTGATGACTGTTAGCTGCCTATATATGGGGAAAGAAAATTATGAAAGAGAACTTAATTTTCTACGTCAAGTCTTAGTCTTCCGCTAATAGGTCAAAATTTATGTGAGGTACTGGTTAATCGTCAGTACATGGAATTTGGATTATTCAGAAATATGAGTGTTTGCCATCCATGTGAATGCATTCATTATAATTCGACAAACCGTAAGAGATACGGCTACCAATCATAAGTCATTTTGACATATATACTTCAATAACCATAGAGTTACATCCATGAATAGCAGAAAATTACATTAATCCCCCAAAGTTACGCTTCTGTATATCATTAAAGTTATGCCTAAACAAAGTTATGATAAAATTGGTAATAACAAACTACGAATTGATCCTTACTGATCTCCTTAGGGACAAATAGGAGCCCCAAAAAAATGGATTTATGACATTTCACTTTTAAAAACTAAAATGAAACGGAATTTTGACCCATTTTCCAAAATAATTACGTAACTTGGATTATAATTTTTTCTATTCTGGGCAATCTAATGGGTTGAAGATGTCAATAATATAACTATTCGTATAATATTTAATATATATATATTTGTTAAGAAAAATTTCGTATATTTTGTTATTTTAAAATAGAAAATTAAAAATATATAGACAAAAATGTGTTGGTTTGGTGTAACACCTTGCTTTCCACATAAAAAGTTCATCAATTAAATTTTATAAATTATAATTGCACTATCACAAAAGAACATTCACAAGTTATATTAATGAACAAAATCTGAAGTTTTATTATTTAAGGTATTCATTAAATAGACTTGAATGAATTGTCACATCATCTTTCTATATTGTAACATCTGTTTTCAGGTATTATCCTTGTGATTAATAATTCTAAGTCTTGAAGTTTTTGGGGATTTTGGTTGATCGCGATATGGTGATGAATAACCACATGCATGGCACAACCATGTTAATTATTTGGCCGCGTCATTTAAGTGGCCACGGCATAGCCAAGAGTTGGCCACGATGCGGTGGCGGCTGGGTTCAAAGCTCTAGATCTCGAGTCTTGGGTCATATTTAAGTAACCTTATGATTAGATTTTCTCTTATAACCAGCCTTCATCCCCTCAGAGAGAACCCTAGTGTGTTTGTGTGTGTGTGTGTTCTTAGTGTTTGAGTGTGTCTTGTTGGTGTTTCAAGCTTGGAAGGACGAGTGGTGTCCTTGTTGCTTGAAGAAGGTGTATGAGATTTCAGATATTGTATCACCTACACCTTGTCGAGGTTTAGGAGGTAGCTTGCGTTAGCTATTCTATTGTTGAGGTTATTGTTGAGTTTCAGGTGTTTAGCTTAGGTGAGTTTCCTCACTATACTATGTATTTTCCTATATGCCATTATATGATATGATGTAGAGGAGTGGTGGTATGTTGGTTAGAGTGTCGGTAAGATTGGTGATCGTCGAGTGAATGTCGTAGGGGTTATATGTACTCAAGTAAGATAGCCTGAGAACTCTTGATCTAGGCCTTTTTGCTTGTTCCATATTTTGGTTGTGGCTTTAGGGTAGGATCAACTGTTCAAGTGTCTATCTTGTGACAACCCAAAAAATATGTCACCAACCGCCATTAGAATTTAGCATTTCAGAATCATGTAATAGGACCACAATGTAATGGTATAATATATGGAGAAATATATTCGATTTTGTCCTTAATTCGAACGACTATGTCAACTTTTAGGCTCAGAAATAACTATGCAAAAAATCGTATCATCTTATGAGTAGGTTAACATTTTTAGAATGTACATATCAGCGGGATTCCAAAAATATAAACTTCGTAAAAATCCGAATTAGTATGGAAAAGATATAATTTTTATAGTAAATAAAAATTTGCCGCACATAAAAAGTTACAACGTCAAAAACTACAAAGAGAACGGTCGACTTTTAGCGAAAGTCACCAAAAGGAATATCGTAGTACTTCTCAAAGTATGAATTTTGAGACAAAAAACGCCTAAAATGAATACGAACGAGAGAATTATGATTTTTATAAAATCATAACAGTTATAAAATATGGGCTAAAAATAAAAGTTAAAATTAGCCAAAACGACCAAAATGAAAGTTGTAGTGTACGTCGAGACCTACACAGGGATATAAGTATTGTTGAAAACAGAGATCGTACGTAGGAGAAAAGAATTTTAAAAGTTGGAAATTCATTTGCACTCGTACCCACGCGCGGCACGCATTCTGACGTGTAGATCCGTCAGGATACGAATGATGTGGCACGAACAAAGGATGACACGTGGCAACTCCCGGGTGGAGCCACACGCACATTGTACGACGTGCACTCCAAAAATTGTTATAAATAGCAAGCTCCGACAGTTTAGTTTTCACATCAACACATATCTCTCTCTCACTCTCGATTTTTGTGACCCTACCTCCCGAGCGATTCCCAAGTTCCAGAATTTCGATTTTACCCTACATCAACGGTTCTCGCTTCAAGAGTGAGTTTACCACCCCACTTTTATAGTTTTCAAACCTTTTAAAGAGGTTATACATGCTATACTACTACTGATTTTGATAATTATTACTAACTGTATAGCATTAGTTATATAATTATGCCTAGAACATTAAGGTAATATTATGCTTGGTCGATACCATGCCCAACTTTTATGGATAATATTATGCCTAGTTATTATGTTGACTTACCCACACGAGAAACATAATACCTAGTCGTTACACTGGTCTAACGTTTAGGGAACATCATACATAGTTGTTGCCCTGGCCAACACTTTTGGATAGCTTTGTACTTAGTAGTTACTCTCCCCAAATATCCAACTAAAACAAACTACTCTAACTTAGTTATATATAGTGTTATATATATATATATATATATATATATATATATATATATATATATATATATATATATATCATATAATATAATAAAGATAACGACGGAAAGCAAGATATACATGACGACAACACATGATGACAACATAATATTTAGATGAGAGACGGTTCATCCTTTAGCTAGCCTCGACCTATAATCATTAAATCTTAAGTGAGCGGGAAAGATATGTATAGGTCTATACGGGGTTGACACCCCTACATGCGGTTGCTAGTTACAACCTGATGGTCAAGTCGAATTAGGCATCACTTTCTAAACTTTGGCGACGTCCGATGAAGCATCTCTCGGGGAATACAATAGTCATAAGCTCGATTATAGGAACTCATTGTTACATTGTTAAACTTTAACTATCTAAAACTACTATTAGGAATAAACCTAAGAATGTAGTGATAGCATACACAAACACAAGGATGCGAGTTTAGGATCATAACATTAGCAACACAACAAAAATTATATAAAATGTTTTAAAGCATATAAACCTCTGACCTCACCAACATTATGTTGACCTTTCAAAACCACATGTATTCTCAGGAGAATGAGTTCGAAAGATGACGGAAGCACGGTCGAAAGCCTATGTGTTATGTTGCTTTATTTTGCCTTTGTGATGTGCTTGTACCTCGAGCACCTATGTAATATATATTATTTAATAAATTAGAAGTAATGTTTTCGTGACATTTTGGTGTGTGTGTGTGTGTGTGTGTATATATATATATATATAAATATAAATATAAATATATTTGTATATGTGATCCAACGTCCTAACGTCGCACAGCCCGACGTTTTCACCGCCGGTCGAGGATGTGACAGATTGATATCAAAGCTACATGTTATAGCGAACTAGTAATTCTTTGAGAACTACGACTATAACCTAGGGCTTACACTCAAATTAGGTTTAACCCTTAAGCTGAGGGGGTCAAGAAAGAGCATTTGAAACAGGAGAGTATCAGGGGTGAGATTGACAGGTTTTCGACCAGCAGTCGTGGATTGTCAACTCGGTGTGGTCGGGTTTGGGTACTGGATTTTGGTGGGATTAGACAGATTGTGTTGGATGAGGCACACAAGTCCAGATTTTCGATACACCCCATAGTCACCAAGATGTATCGAGATTTGCGACTTAGCTACTGGTGGCCGTGTATGAAGAGGAATATAGCCTGGTATGTTGAGAGGTTCCTGACATGTCGGATGGTCAAGGTCGAGCACTAGATGCTGCATGGAAAGCTTCAGCCTTTGGAGGTTCCCATGTGGAAATAGTAACAAATCACCATGGATTTCATCACCAAGCTACCTCGGATGGCTAAGGGGTTCGATGCGATTTGGGTGATAATGGAATGTCTGACCAAGAGTGCCCACTTCTTAGCTATTTGAGAGAGTTCCTCAGTCGAGAAATTAGCCGATGTGTATGTGCACGAGATCGTCGCCCATCATGGTGTTCCAGTTTCTATTATTTTAGATTGGGAAGTTCGGTTCACTTCACGGTTTTGGTAGAGACTCCATGAGGAATTGGGTACGAGATTGCAGTTTAGCACTCCTTATCATCCTCAGACTCTCGGTCAGAGCGAGCGGACCATCCATACACCTGGGGACATGTTACAAGCCTATGTGATCGATTTCGGTGGGAGTTGGGACTCCTACCTTCCCTTAACTGAGTTTTCATACAACATTTATCACTCTAGTATCGGTGTGCCGCCATTTGAGATTCTCTATGGGAGGAGGTGTCGTACCCAGTCTGTTGGGGAGAGGTCGGTAACAGGGTTATAGGAAGGACCGAAGTACTCCTTCAGACAACAGAGCTTATTCAGCAGATCAGGTATCACAACTAGTAAAATCAGGGTCAAGATTGTATTCGTGTACAAACAATTCCTCTATGTAATCTTGTTGTATTAGATTATTGAAATTCAAAAATGCCAATGTTATATGAGTACATAGATGCATACACTAAGAATCAAGTTGTAATAACCTCTTATAAGATCTAATAGCTAAAAACAAATCAAGCTTTTGGGTTTGTGCTTAGGAGTTCTCG